TGATGCACATGTATGCGCATGCCTTTATTGGCCAAAGTCGATGGCAGGCAGCTTCCTCTTCCTCAAGCTCCCCTGTGAACCGGGGGCTCCCTGTTTTGGCTAATCTCACTAGCCAGCTCCCTCTACAGATTCCTGCTCTTTACATCCTGTGGGCTGGAACTAGAAGCAGGCTGTCACGACCACCCACGTTTACATGGGTTCTGGGAATCCATACTCTAATCCTCACTCCTGTGGGATGAGTGAAACACCCACTGAGCCAGCCCCCATTGGGAACTTAATACATGGGAAGTTTTCAGTGTTTTTCTCTGACACGACAAATTCTCATTTAAGGATCAATCCTACAAAAATACCTCCAGTGCGCATGTGTGTGTGTGTGTGTGTGTGTGTGTGTGTGTGTGTGTGTACTTGTTGCAAGAATTTTAATAAGGAAATATTGGAAACAAGCCAAATGCCCACATACTTGCTAAATAAACAATGGCATATCAGTCATTTGTACCACTATTGGAGGGCTCAATGTTTAACACTTGGGATGGCTTCTGGCACAAAATGGGTTCGGGCCAAAGCCCATGCCTGGTCAGTGTGCAACTGAGACACAGGCCTGGCAAGGCCCAGGCCTAGTAGGCTGGAGGGCAGGTCTGGTGAGAAGCAGACCACGGATGCATGCCAATGGCTGGCTGCTCAAGCAATATGTGGCTGGCCTCAGGCAGTCCAGAAGCTTGGGACGGTAGGCAGGCAGCTGCCTGATAGCAGCCAAGTTCAGGTGTCCAGCAGCGACTCTCCAAGGAGGAGAGGAGCCCCCTTCCCCAGGATAAAAGACGAATCTCGTGGTGGGAAACTGGTGGCAGCATGCAGCACACAGCCAGCACATTTATTTGAAATCAGGGATTTCTAAACCTTGGGCAGTGAGAGGGATTTCAAGGGTGAATGTGTTTGATATGATGGAGTCAGGGGTCAGGAATTTGCATGTAGTGGTACAATGCCTCATTTTCCATGCAGTAGCATGGTCCTGTCACACAAAGGAGAACACAGTACTTAATTATCATATGGGTGAGAGAATCTCCAAAAACAATTGAAGATCTCCTTAGCAAAGTGGAGCATTTCTAAGAATTCCCAGATGCTTGTTGGACCGGTTTTCTTATCAGGAAAGGATCATTCTGTAGTCTGTCCTGAGGGCTAAGTGATGCTCCTTACAAAATCTGGGGCCACCCAGATCATGGGGGGAGGGAACCCCACTCAGTAAAGGGAGTCCACTATCATAGACCAAGTGAAAACAAATGGCTTCTAGAGATGTCAGACTTCAACCTCATCCAACAGAGTTCCACAGAGGAACACAGCAGGGTGTTGTCATTTTGTTTAAGTAGACCAGATATCATTAATTCAAGCAGAATATTCAGCAAGTATTGAATTGTAAGTAAAAGGCTACTCAAGTTCTCGGGCAGGCAGAGCCGGAGAACCTGAACTTAATTTCACCTTATGATCAAAGTGAAGATTAAAAAACTAAATGGCTTCTGCTAGGCCAAAGATGAAAGCAGGTGTTAACGGAGGATGTTAACAGAGGGCCTACAGTTATGCTAAGAACTGAAGCAGGTCTCGAAGAGGGACTGCAGAGCTGAAGCAGGTTAAGCAGGTTACAACACCGCCAGTAGGTGTGGATTAATGAGTTCAAAGGAGCTTCCTGTGTTTTATCTATCCCTCATTCTTTCAGCAGTTATTATTTAGGGTCTGTTACATAAAAAAAAACAAGAAGAAAAAAACTTACTGACTGTTAGAAGAGATAGCCCTGGGGGGAGGGACATGAAGGAGGACAAGGTGTGGTGACACATACATACACAAAGATGTCATGGCGGAGCCCATCACTTTATGCTAGCCTAGGAGTTTAATGTGGGGACTGTGAGAGGGCTTAGGGGTAAGATACTTGCTACCAAGTTCAATGCCTGGGACCCAGGCGGCAGAGAGAACCAACTTCCATAAGTTGTCCTTTGACCTCCACACGTGCATGCTTGGCACACCCATACATGCACACAGACACAAAGAAGCAAATAGAAAACCCAAGATAATCATAAACTTACAAAATTCAGATATGAGGCTGGAGACCTGTCAGCAGGCAAAGAAAGCAGGTCAGCACTGGCACGAGGGCCCAAGCTCACATCTCTGTACCAGCATGATGCTGGACACAATAACATCTGTAACCTCACACTCCTGCTGAGAGAAGGAGGCAGAGACAGGGAGAGCCCTGGACACTCACCGCCAGTGAGTCTGATGGATGCAGCAGGAAGATGACAAAGCCTGTCTCAAACAAGGCGGAAGGTGAGGACTGACATCCAAGGTTGTCCTTTGATCTCTGTGCATGCACCGCCGTCCGAGTACTCATACTCACACATATGTAATACACAAGATTTTATATGTGTGTGTGCACATATATATCCAAATAAAAGGAAAACAGTGTGCATTATAAAGACTTTATTATACATATGTAATTATAGTTTCCTCACGTATACATTTTGTATCTTGACAAAGGTATAAATGTGTATGCTAAACCTAAATAAACATATTTTACACTATCTCAGTGTTGTTATTTTCTGATGAAAGAGGTTTATTGGGTGGAGATGGAGAGAGAGAGGAGAACGAGAGCCATGATGGGGGTATGGGAGCCCAACAGAGAAAGGAGAGAGAGCAAGAGAGGAAGAACAAGAGTGCAAGAGAGCGCTCAGTGGTTCTTAAGACGGAGGGAAGAAAGGGAAGTGATGGAGCTACCTGTTTGGTTGCTAAAACAATCCCAAGATCCTCACACCTTAGGCCGTATCTCTGTTGTTTAACGTGGTCCAGGTGTTTCTATGAAGACTCCAGATGTGAAGGTCATCGTCAGTGGACTTTAGTATAAGGAGGTGATTGCAGGTGGGTCTGACCTATCCGGTTGGTTCTTGTCAGAAGTCAGTTTCAAGCTGGAGCCTCAGATCTCCTTCAGCACTGAAGTAGCAGCTTCCTTGTGTGGACTGCCTGTGGCAGGACCCTAGGGCCATCTCGAGGAGCTGACAGCCAACAGTTAGGCTAGCAGGGACTTCAGATCGACACCCATAAGAAACTCAGGTCTGCGAACAGCTGGGGAACTAAAGAGAGAATTTCAACGGCAGCAACTGATGCCTCGACTCCTGCATAATAAGTACAGACTTCTGACTCCAGGGAATTGTGAGATACTATTTGTGTTGCCTTACTCTAATTTTTTGAGAATGACCCCTGTAGTCTTGGACATTTGAACATTTGGTCCCCAGTTGATGCTTAAGAGATGTGACCTTGTTGAAGGAAGTATGGACAAAGCCTTGTACTATTCACAGTATGTTTCCTCCACTCAGTTCTTAAGGTTCAAGATGTGGGACCTCAGCTGCACCAGCTCCCATGCCTGCCGCTTGTTGCTGAGCCTCCTGCTCTGGCAGACTCTTATCCCCCTGAACATGTAAGCCAAATAAAGCTCTCCTTCCATAATTTGCTTTGATGATGGTGTTTTGTCACAGCGATAGAAAATTGGTGAATGCAGTCATTCCATCAGTACCACCTTGCCTGGACTGAAGTTCTTCTCATGGCCGCAACATGAGCTTGCAATTGCCTTGAAAACATTGCTTTTTACCACAGGTTTAGTTCTTGTTGTTTTTCTTCATTCCTTCAGGAAAGCAACTGCGGCAGCCCAGAAGCATCTCTGTCCTCTCTTCAGCTGTGGTTGTCACTATCCCCTAGAATGTGAACGGAATGTTCTCCAAGTCTGTTTCAGCCCGTGTCTGCTGTCTTAGTTACTTTTTAAAATTTCTGTGGGACGACACCATGGCCAAGACGATTTATAAAAGAAAGCATTGAATTGGGGGCTTGCTTATAGTGTTTGAGGGTGAGTTCATGACTCATGGTGGGGAGGGGAGCATGGCAGCAGGCAGGCAAGCAGGCACTGGAGCAGCAGCTGAGTGCTTACAGTTGATGCACAAGTTGAAGTCAAAGAGAATGGGACTGGGTGTGGTGTGAGCTTTTAAAACCTCAAAGTCCACCCCATGAGACCTTCTCCAACAAGGCCACACCTCCTAATCCTTCCCAAAACAGTTTTATTGACCGTGACCAAGCATTCAAAACTCTGAGCCTATGGAGGTGTGCTGGCTGCTCCTATGTCAACTTGACACACAAACGAGTTATCTGAAAGGAGGGCCTCTTAATTGAGAAATACCTCCGTAAGATCTGGCTGGAAGACATTTTCTTAATTAGTGATTGATGGGGGAGGGCCTACCATTGTGAGTGGTGCCATCCCTGGGCTGGTGGTCCTGGGGTCTATAAGAAAGTCCGAGCAAGCCGTGGGGAACAGGCTGGTAAGCAGCACCCCTCCATGACCTCTGTATCAGCTTTTGCCTCCAGATTCCTGCCCTGTTTGAGTTCCTATGCTGACTTCCTTTATTGATGAACAGTGATATAAATGTGTAAACCAGATAAACCCTTTCCTCTACAACTTGCCTTCTTGGTCATGGTGCTTGTCAGAGCAATAGAAACCCTAAGACAGGGCCATTCTCCTTCAAACCACCACATGTGCTATTGGTATCTTCTTTAATGCTGTCTTCTGCTTAATCCCTGTAGTTACCCTAATGGTTGGGCAACATCTGAAGTTTTAGGGTCTAGGGAAGAATCTCAGACTCTAACATAAAGCCTTGACTTTCACGCAAGGAACGAGTCAACTTACTCGTTTTGAATAAGGTGGCTTAAAAAAAAAATCAACCTGCTAGGGTTGGAGTGTAGCTCAGCAGGAGAGCACTTACCCCACAAAGTCCTGGGTTCCATCCCAGCACGGTGCCAGAGAGAATAAACAAACAAACAAACAAACAAATAAATAAATAAATAGCCTGCAATGGGCAGTTTTGTTTCATTTCTGTAAACTACCAGCTGAAATAAAGTTTAAGGCTGTTTTATTTCAAGGAGGAAATTATATCACAAACATCAGCCAAGTGTGAAATTGAACATCTTTTCCCTCCCTTTAGAATATGAAGCTGAGATACCCACCTTTCCAGAAGGATATAAAGTGAAACAGGAAGCTGCTGTTACGGTGAGCTCTGTTAGTATTGTCCAGGACCCAGTGAGGGTAGCACCAGTAGCTCCAAGGAGCACATTCTGGCTTGCCGGGGGACGGAGGGGGGGACACTGGAGCTAGAACCTACGACATGGTTCTTCTGAGAATGGAATAGCTTTAAAAATATCCTGTATGCACATTGAGCCATAGTGATAGCTTCTATTAAATGGGAAAGGTTATCTTTGTGTCCAGCTCAGACTATAAAGAATGTTCGCAATGGATCACACAGCAGATCTATGTAGTAACAATTGTGAGATAGTTGTGGCAGGTCTTTCTGTGTGCTGAGAGAGGACCAGCAGCCAGGAAGGAAGTCCCTTTGGAAATATACCTTGGAATTGCATATATTTGACAGCCTTAATTTTTTTTTTTTAAAGACTCGAGAGGTAAAGAGACTAGAGCAAGGTCAAATGGATGGAACTCAAACTAAATTCTGTAGATTCTGAGTAATTTTCTTTATTACAGTGGTCTTTGACAGATTCTTATGTTTAAAAATCTTTCTTGTTCTGTGACTGTTCCTTTTTGCTAACATCCTGTTCTTACTTTGAGGATGCCATACTTAAACAAATTTTTTCTGCAGATAGTAATTGCTGTTCTCTTTCTTAAATTACTTTTCTAGGGATAGTTTTTGTATTTATTGGTTTAGTTTTTATTTGTTAGACAGGGTTTCACTCTATAGACAGGACCAGGCTGGCTTGGAACTCCACATGTAGTTCAGATGATCTTAAACTCTTGATTCTCCTGCCTCAGCTTCCAGAGTGTGAGTGCTAGGTGTGCACCATCAAGCCTAGATCTTGCTTGCATTTTTTTTGTTTTGATTTTTGAGACAAGGTCTTGTGGTGATCCTCCTTACTCTGCCTCCCAGGTACTGGGTGGGATTACAGGTGTGTCCCAACGTGCCCAGCCATGGCTAGAATTTTTGATCTTTGGTTTTCATGCTGCTGATTTTCTTGATCTGTGTAGAGAGCTTTGGTTGTGTACAATTTTAAATGGGAGGCTGAGAGTATTTTTCTATTTAGCCAAGTGCCTTAGGGCTGTACAGAGAATCAGAACCAACAGAAGATGATTAGGTAGGTAGGTAGGTAGGTAGGTAGATAGACAGACAGATAGATAGAAGACAGGAATCTCATTAGTGAATCATCTCACACACATTACTATTGCTGCACAATCCCACAGCAGCCTGTCTGAAGCTGGAGAACCAGAAAGCTGGTAATGTTGCTTACTCTGAGGCTGAAGGCCTCAGAAATGGGGAAGCTCTCAGTCCAAATGCAGAGATCCATGACCACGGGTTCAAGTCCCAGGGTCAAATACTATAACAAGGATCACTTTCACAGACACACCCAGAAAGCTCTGTCAGTTATCTCAGTCTGTCTCAGTCCATTCTAAATTTTAGATTGACATCTGAAAGTAGCCATCACACCTGATATGCTTTCTTTGTGCCGCTGTGCACATGGCTTTGTTTTCTGGATAGATTTCTTCTCTGAATAAAACAAAAACAAACACTGTCCAGGTGCTCATGGGAGTAGTGACCTCTGGAAGACTTCTTCAGGGTGGCCAGGAACAGGGTCCATATCTTGGTGTTAGACAGTAGTACTCTGAATCAGCAGTGGGTTTTCTGGTGCTAGTATGGTATCCCACGGGAATTCTCCTTCCCAGGCTTTGTTTTATCTGTTTACGGAAGAGCCATTGGGGATGGTGGGGAGCCAACAGATGATGCTGGTGTGAAGGAATTTTCTTGAATATCAAGAGGGGACAACAGCCCATGGGAAAGTGTGGGCAGCAGCCATGTTTCACGCGGTCCCCTGGGTGGAACTGCCTTTCTCCCTCTCATCCCTGTGATGCCCAGCAACTCTGAGTGCCAAGCCCCTTGGAAGTCTACTGGGAAGAAGGCCCTGTTTCCTCTAAGGCTGTTTCCCTCAGTGACATTCCCCACTTCCTCTCTTAATCATTCAAATGGGCTTCATCCCTGTTTATGTATATGGGTACATGTGTGGGGTGCACATTGTCTGAGCCCTGAGGTTGGTGTTAGGAATCATCCTCCTGTCATCCTTGTACCTTTTTCATTGAGGAGGGGCTCTCAATCAAATCCAAAGCTCACTGATGCAGCCATGCCAGCCCGCTGGCTCTGTGATCCTCCATTTCTCCCTTCAAAGGCTGGAGTTACAGGTGGGTTGCCATAGCTACCTGGCATTGACATGGGTCCTGAATTCTGTTCTTCACACTCGCAGGACAAGAGCTATAACCACTCCCCCGCCTCCTGTTTTGGTTTATATTTTGTTGTTTCTGGCTTGTTGGCCAATGTCTCACCTACAGATGGTCCTCCTGTCCCTCCCTCTCCTCACTAAGGGTTTCTAACTTCGCTGTCATTTAATTTTGTGGTCCCACCCCCACCCCAGAGCTTAGGACAAACCCAGGGCCTTGTGCTTGCTAGGCAAGTACTCTACCACTGAGCTAAATCCCCAATCCCTTTCCTCATTTAAAAGTATCCTTGGAGAGAAGGGAAATGAACACGCGTATTCAGAATGTCTCCCAACCTGTCCATCTGACACTGAAGTTCATTCTCTTGTGAGGTTATAAAAGAAAGTTAGGCATGGTGGCAGGTACCTTAGCCCCAAAGCTTGGGAAGTGGAAGCAAGTTGATCTGTGAGTTCAAGGATAGCCTGGTCTACAAATCAAGTCCCGGGACAGCCAGGGCTACACAGAGAAACCCCCCCAAAAAGCCAAACTAAATGAGTAAATATAATAATTATGATGGTAATAATAGAAAACGGAGGGCTAGTGCGATGGCTCTGTGGTGCTTGCTGCCAAGCCCGATAATCTGAATTCAGTTCCTGGGACTCAAATGGCAGAAGGAGAGAACCAGCTTCCACATGTTGTCCTCCGACCTCCACATGTGTGCCGTGGTGTGGCATGTCTGTGCACCCTGTACCCCAAATAAATAAGTTTAATTTTAAAATTAAACAATAAAGAAAACCCAGTCATTGGAGCTGTTTCAGAACTCACTGCCCTACCCCCACTGCCTGCAGGTCACACCATTGGAGGAACTGGTTCCTCATGGCTTCAACATGGAGCACTACCTCCCAATGCAACAGTTCCCGGTGATGCCACCTGTGCCCTGTCCTCCCAGGAAGACAGAGACAGTTGAGCCCAAGACCTGTAAGTAAGGGGGCGAGCCTTTATCTTCTGTATTTTGGGGTATAATACTCACACCCACAGGGTAGGGTGGTGGTGATCAGACATGGCAGGGGAGACCACATAGTGGTCTGTGTGATACTTCATTTTGTTTTGTCTTTTGAGACAGGCCTGAAGCTCCCCATATGGGCTAAGCTGACTGGCCAGTGAGCCCCAGAAATCCCCTTCCCCAGCCCACACCACCACATCTGGCTTTGGTCACATTGGCTCTGGGGTTTAACTCAGGTCCCAAGCTAAACTATCTCCCCGTCCCATAATCCTTACTTCTAAGAGGAATGTTGTGGAATCGCTGGCTTCTTTGCAAGGTTAACATGTGGCAGAGAGAATGCCAGCAAGTCCTGTGATTCTACACTAAGTACAAAGCTAGAAGAGGGAGGGGTACGCAGATACACAGAGCAGAAGAAAGCGCCCTGTGGCCAGGTCTCCAGGTCCATCCTGCTGATCCAGCCTCAGCCTGTCAAGCCTGCGCTCTTTCGCTCTTTCTCCCTGTTTGTTTTGTGCCGTCTGTTCTGGTCCCGCTGTAAAGCCATCTGTTGTACTTCCCTATCCCAGCTCCCCTCTGGCCTTAGTTCCTGCTGCACGCTCATGATCACACCCTGCTGCTCCTGCAGACACTGGCCTTTGTGCTGTGGCTGCCTTGGTGCTGTAACCAACTGGAGGACTTGACCCCAAACATCCTTTGCCAGACTCCACAGAAGCTTGTGTTTAGTTTCTTAGTAACCCAGCCCTGCTCAGCAACCTGAAGCAGATGGTAACAAGTAAGAATCAGCTATTTAATAGATGGTATTGTTTGCTTGCTTTGGTTTTTCTAACAGGGCCTCATGTGTGCTAGTCTTGCCTTGAACTTTCTATGTAGCTAAGTCTTGTCTGGAACATTTGATCTGAGCACAATGACCACAGGCCTGCACCTTCACACCCAGTTTATTGGGTGCTGGAGATCGAAGCCAAGGCTTTCTGCATGCTAGGCAAGCGTTCTGCTAACTGAGATACTATAGACCCAGCCCACATGGATTCAAAATCAATATCTCCTTCTCTCCCTCCTTTCCTCCTTCCCTTCCTCTTTCTGTTAAGTAGTAAATACCTCTTTTAGATGAACCTAGGTCTTACGGGGTTTTCAGTGGGAATGTTCTTGTTTCAGGTTCTCCCAAAGATTACCTGGAAATGTTTGTCTTTCCGGTTCTGCTCCCTGGAATGGCCAACCTGCTTCACCAAGCAAAGATAGAAAAGTGTTTTGAGGTCAGTGGTTCGGTGGAATGTCCATATTTTAAAGTTCTTGCTCATTCATTTCCATCTAATTCAGGCCATGAGGTATGTATCATTGGGTTGCTGTTCTCAAAAATGACCCCTTGCTAAGGAAACCTGAGTTTGGGTCACTTGCCCCTGCTCCTTGCCTAGCCACAACATCTAGTACTACATAAATGTAGATGAACTGCCAACTCTCAGGCCACTTGGGCCCCTGAGGGATTTTCTGATGCTGCCCCTCTCCTGGGTGTTCTGGCATCAGGCAAGTCTCTTAGTTCTTCCATTCCTGTTTGTTGTGAGTGTTGTTTAACATTTTGTGCCTTACTTTCATGTCTGTAGCCATGATGATACTCTTACAAAATGCAACATAGGGAGGAAAAGGTTTATTTGGCTTATAATCCCAGGTTCCAATCCACCACAGCAGAGAAGTCACAGCACAGGAGCTTGAAGCAGCTCCTGTCACACCCACAGCAGAGAGAAATAAGTGCATGCAGGCCCACTTGCTTCCAGCTAGCTTTCTCCTCTCTTCTGCTGTTGAAGAGCCCCTGTATAGGGAATGATGTTGCCCACAGTAGGCTGGGTCTTCCTACATCAATTAACAGTCAAGAAAGGCAGTCTCCCCTAGACATGCCCACTGACCAAGCTGGTATAGATAATTCCTCACTAAGACTGATTTGAAGTGATTCGAGGTTGTATCAAGTTGACAGTTAAAGTTAACAATACATTGTTCTGCTTCTTACTTGTCCCTGGATTGACCTTGCTCCTCTGGCCTCTTCTCCTTTTTTTTTTTTTTTTTTTCCTTTTTTGG